TGTTGGGGCGAGAAGAACGCCTCGGCTTCACTTCTTCGACCGGGACTTCCACCACGTCACTGTCGTCGGACTGCTCCCCTGCCGACAGCTCTCCTTCCTCGCCGCCAAGGTCTTCTACGACGTCGCTCGACGCGTCATCGTCGAGCTGGTCCTCTGCCGACTTTGCCTCTGCCGACTCCTCTGCCCACTTATCCTCTGCCGTCGGCTCCTCTGCCGATTTCGCCTCTGCCGACTCCTCTGCCGGCGCTCCTCTGTCGTCAGCAGCTTCTGCACTTTGCCGCCGAGATGCATCTCGTCACGTCGGTCGTCGGCGATGCCACTGGCCGGTGCCAAAGGCGACGCAGAAATGCTCCCCTCATCGCCGGTGGTCGACGGCGACGCCGTCTTCGGCAGATCAGCGGCAAGGGGCAGAGGGGAGGTAGAAGAGGGAGCAGAGGGCGGAGGGACGTCCTCGACGTCGTCATCTTCAACGGCAAGCAAAGGGGTCGTCGTCGACGAGGGATTCGTCGGCGCGACAGTAGGTTTCCGCGTCGAAATGGGGCCGTGCTATGCCTTCCCCATTTCCAGCGACATGGTTTCGTAGAAGATTGCCTCTACGGTCGTCACCACCTTGTTGTCGCTGAGGTCGAGCACCTCCCAGCCCTTGCTCTCCGACGACACACCGAGATGAAGGCCCTACCGGGCCTTCGGCGCCAGCTTCCTGCTGCGCTGCTGCTCGGGGACCATGAACTGCACCATGCAGCCCCACACGCGCGCCAGCCTCAGGTCCGGTTTCTTCTAGAACAACAACTCGTGCGGCGTCGTCCCCGAAGGTAGAGACGCCCGTTTGAGGCAATTGCGCACCCAGATGGCCAGTCGCAGAGCAAGGTGCCACCAGTGGTGCTTCACGCCCATGTGAAGCAGCATCGTCCGCACGGGCTCGACGACCCTACGCATCTCCCGCTCCGCCATTCCGTTCTGCTTCGGAGTATAGGGGCACGCCAGGTTGTGGAGAATGCCCTTGTCCTCGATGAGGTCGGTGAAGGCGCGACCGAGAAACTCCCCTCCGCGGTCAGAACGCATCATTTTACCGTCTTCGACGTCTGCTGTTCCACCGGTTTCAGCCACTTTTCGAAGACGAACAGCTCGTCGCTCTTCTTCGCGATCGGCTGGACCCACACGTAGCAAGTCTTCTTGTCCTTCAGCAGAAGAAAGTTGAAGGTGCCATCGTTGGCGGCCACTCGAAACGGCCCGCAGAGGTCAATGTGCACCAAGCCGAGCGCATTCTCGGCGTCCGATCCTTGGTCGGGGAAGGTGTGCCGCGCCAGCTTGCCTCCGACACAGGAGGCACACGGCAGATCCGCTGCGGTCGACGGCTTGATGTCTAGACCGACGGCGACCTCATGCTTCGCCGAGCTCTTGATCATGTCGACGCCGACGTGCACGAGCCTTGCGTGCCACATGTCCGGCGTAGACTTCGTCGCTGAGGCGATCGTCCGCAGAGCCACCACTTCTACCGCGGCCGACTTCGACTTCTCCGAGCAATATAGAAGGTCGGTGCAGAGGACCCGGCCGGTATACTTCGCCCGACCAAGGACGTCCCCTGCCGCCGAGACGAGCAGCATTTTGTCGCTGACATCTTGCAGTTTCACGCCGCTTTTTTGCAGCTGGCCCGCTGACAGCAGGTTCGCCTGCACACCCGGGACGTAAAGTACGTCAGGAACGAGAATCCGGTCTCCCCTTGCAGAGCGACTATGCCACGGCCTTCGACGTTCTGCAGCGCCCCCCGTTGAATCCACGCACATGCTTCACGTCGCCTCCAGGCTTCATCTCGACGAACGCCTCCTTTGTCCCCATCAGGTGGTGGGAACAGCCGCTGTTGAGCAGCACCACCGTCGGGTTTGCCTGCACTGCGGCCGCGGCCGCCTTGAAGTCCTCGCCGGCCTCCGGCGCCAGAGAAACGGGCGACTCTACGACGCCGACCATTGAGCACACGACGCCTCCCCGTTGCCTTGGCCCTTTCTGGCAGAGGAGTTGGCGTCCTTCGTCGACGGCGTCGACTTCGACGTCAGCTTCTCCTTCCGCGGCTTGTTGTCTCGGCGTCGACGACCTCCGTCGGACTTTAGCGGACTCCCTTGCCGTCGTCGTCGCTCTCTTCGCGGTCGGGGCACTCGTAGGAGAGGTGGTCGGGGTCACCGCAGATCCAGCACTCCCGCCGTCGACCACCTCCGCCTCTACCGTTGTCCCGCGCCGACTTCGACCGGTCAGCGTCCTTCGCCGACTTCCCACCTCCGCTCTGCTTCCCTCGTTGCCCCTGCTGACGACTCTGCTTCGTCGGGGCGACGTAGTTCGCCTGCAGAAGGAGCTCTGTGGGCCTCTCTGCCTCCTGCATCGCCTCATCTCTGATGATGTAGCAGGTGAGGAGGTCCTCGTTGAGCAACTCACGCGTGCCAGGCACCACCATCAGCCGGCGCATAAGATTGTAGCTGCTCGGCAGCCCCTTGTCGACGTGCGTGATGTAGGACGTCGTCGAGTAGTCGACGCCCGCCATCCGCATGTCGGCGAGTACCCGTCAAGCTCGGTTGCAGTATTCCGTCGCCGACTCGCGCTCACCCATCCTGAGGTGAGTCAAGCGCTCCTCCAGCTGGGCGATGTATAAGTCGTCGGTCGCCTGGTACGCCGACATTATGAACCGCCACGCCTTGTGGTCGGCGTCCAGTCGAAGTCGACACGGCTTCAGATCAATATGCACCATCGGCGAGCAGCAGCGCGGAATTACCATGAAGGTCAGCAGATGAGCCGCGCGAAATTCTGCCCGCAGCTCGACGTCGTCCTCGTCCGGCGTCACCACTGCGCCGTCGACGAAACACTTCAGCCCGGCAATTTCCAGCTGGGGCTCGATCGACTCCCTCCACGTGATGAGGTCCCGTCGACCTTCCAGCGGTATAGGCACGGCGATCTTGTCCCGCGAAAATTTTGAAGTAGCCGTAGGCAGGCGCAATTCCGCCAGTCGTCACGTGCGTAGAGGAGCTCGGCCTCACTCCACTTCTCTGCGGGGAGCGACGTCGACCGTCCACGTCACCGTGCGAGCTGCACGCGGCCGCCGTCGACCGTTGCACTCGCGAATGTATTCCGCCGACCCCGTCGGCGGCGGCCCTGATCATTCCACTCATCCTCCTCGTGCCGTCGTCTCTGCCGACTTGGTCACCATCGTCGACCTGCTCGTCGACGCCGCCTTCGTTGCGCACAGGTCGGATCGAGGTAGACGCGCCATCCGCTGCAGCACGGGGAGGTGGGTGGTCGCGCGCCCACTGCGCGCGAGTGCCTAGGAGTTCCCACTCCAAAGGGACCTCGCCGAACTCGCCAGCTGTATGGCGTCTCCTAACATCAGCCTCTCGAGTCTCCAGAGTATCCTCTACGACCGCTTCAACTACGGGGTCAACCATGGCGACTAAGACGGCTGCCGGCCTACCAACGAATTAGGTAATGCGAACCTAAGTCGGCTACTCTGAAGGTATCTTTGCGGGGTCGTCCACGCTCACCGCACCATGAGGAGAGTCACTACACAACGGGAGTGGGCTACGGAGGAAGGCACGGGGTTGTGCGGGTGATCGTAGCGTTGCACTAGGCGTTCTCACTACTTGTTGTATTCACAAAGAAATTTGGCAAGAGTTTCACTAAGAAAATTAGAGAACATTAAATTACAAATGAGGCATGCAAGTCGATATAGCTAGAATGGCATTGCAACACCTAGCAAGCCCTCTGCAGGGCGAATTCTGCCAGCGCAGCAGAAGAGCGGCTTGCCAACGCTGCAGCAGAGTAGGCTGCCAGCATTGCACCGCAGCGGTCTGCCAGTGCTGCATAGGCAGATGAACTTCTGCTCATGTGCGCACCTACCAAGTAGGTGCAGGTAGACGGTCGCGCCGCCAGGCACATTGCGCAGGTGCCAGGTAGAACGCGTGTCGACGGTTTCGCCAGCCGTGCATCGTCGAGCACGTGATGCCGTTCCGCGGGTTGACTTCGCGAAAACCTCCTGAGCGACATTCGCCCACACGTCGGATTTCGCAGTCGAGCGAGCTCGTCGACCAGCTCGACGATGCTCCGTCGAATAGCGTTCGCCTAGACGAGCTCGTCGAGCAGAGCCCGTATACCAGCACCTCTCTACGGGCTCATCGACCGCGTCCTCTGCGGACTCGTCGACCGCGTCCTCTGCGAGCTCGTCGACCGCGTCCTCTGCGCGCGGTCGACGTCGAACTCTGCAGACAGGTCGAGGTCGCCTTCTGCGCGTAGTCTGCATTGTCTTGTGCGCGTAGTCTGCATCGACTTCTACTCGCCCCCGACTGCGAAGTCCGCTTCGCCCAAGCAAGGGCGGGGCCATTTCCCGTCAACACAACCGCCCTGCGCCCCACCCGTCGCTCGTACCTCGTACGCGCCCCGTAGCCCGTCGCGCCCCGTTCTTCCGTACGCACCCGCGGCGCCTCCCATTCACGCCTTCGCAAGGCCCCCTGCGGGCCGTTCGTTCGTCCCTTAACGTGGCCCCTTGCGGGCCCTTCGTTCGTCCCATAGTGCGGCCCCCGCGGGCCCTTCGTTCGTCCCGTAGTGCACCTGCACAAGCACCTGCACAAACTGAAGAACCGATCACCGTCACTTTTGGAACACCATCCGCATCACGGTGGGACAGCGCTCTTCCGCGGCCAGTGATGGCGCACCGGGGTAAACACACATTGCGAAGCCCGTTGTCTTGCCTGTATTGTGGCGCCCATCGGCAACAACGTCATTGGTGAGCGGGTGCCACTCAAGCCACAACGCCCGCCCTGTTTCGATCCTAGCCAGCGTAGCGTAGGGCCCAGGGCTCTGGTTATCCGACCAAATTGGTCTGATGGTCTGAAAATCAGACCTACTTTTTTTTCGTTTCATCTGATTTTCGAGACCAGCATTTTATTTTCTCTTAACCGTAAGACGAAGACTTTTATTTCGTCTGAAAAATAAGACAACGCGTTATACTTCGTCTGAGATTTCAGACATCGAGTATACTTTCATCTGATACCGACCAAGTATCGAACTACCCCCCCCACCCCCCCCCCCCCCCCCCCCCCCCTCCCCCCCCCCCCCCGCCCCCTCGCCCCTCCCCCCCAATCTTTTACGCTGCCCCAAACCAGCCCCCCCTTCGGCAGTCCTTGGTTGCTCTAGCAGTCCAGCCAGGCCCCCCGCAATCCCTCGCTGATTTAGCCGTCTTGTCCAGCACCCCCGCAGTCCCTCGCTCCTCTACCAGTAAAGCCCCCCCTTCACCCTCTCCCCCCGCAGTCCCTCGCCCCTGTCCATTCCCCCTGGTCCATCGCGTCACAGACATTCAACAGTGGTCCTCGCAGCCCAACTCTCCCCCGCCTCTCCCAGACCAGTCCCTCTCGCCACTCCACTTGTGTTCTAGCGGGCCGTCGGCGCCACCAGGCTGCATACTCACAACAACGTGTACATAGTGTACAGTATTGGTAATTGGCTGAATCAGACCATCCAAAACAAATCATCTGAAAATTCAGACATAGCTCCAGCATTCGTCTGAAAGTTCAGGAAAACAAAAACTGCCCATCTGAACGTCAGACGAAACGTTAAAAAAATATCAGACATGCCTAAATCCTAGCAAGAGCCCTGGTAGTGCCGGGTTGCAAGTTACCAGCTGAGCCAGGTGATTTGGCCGCGATGGTCGTGTTGGCGGGAACAGTATCAATGCGAGTGTCGCGAGGTGGTAACGCGCTACTGTTGGGTGTACAGTGGCCTGAATGTTAGAGACTTACGAGAGGAATGTGAGATTAGGTAAGGGGGGGGGGGGGGGTACAAGAGTGTCGAGCAATGTGTTGTACCCTCTAAGGATAACCCTTACATAGCCTAGAATGACAGAATTCATATGATGTTTTGACACACCCCCATAGGTGAATTAGGGGATAGCCAAACCAAACAGTGGTCACAAGACGAGTCAGGAGAAGCAAACAAAGCAAAACCCAGGGTGGATCTCAAGATCACCACACAGTCTGAGCACAAGCAAGCGGCCACAAGGCCAGTTCACATGCAGAGTTATATATAGAGCCTAGCAAGAGCACGCATGCAGGTATATATATAGAGACCACAGTACAAGGCAAGTCGAGCAACCAGCAGGTGAGACAGAGTGGGCAGAAGCCCAAGAGCAGTGCAAAAGCGCTGATGATCACCAGACCCAAGGGCCTTGGTGAAAACATCAGCAGTGTTGGCCCGAGAGGCCACGTAGGAAAGGCGGAGCTGACGACGCTGCTGCAGCTCTCGAGAAAAAAAGTAGCGAAGAGCAATGTGCTTCGTTCTGTGCTCCAGTCTCTGCTCGCGACACAAGGCAAGCATGGCCTTGTTGTCGACGTACAGAACTGGAGGAGAACGAGGCCGCTCCCCCAAGTCGGTCAGCAGGTAGGTCAGACAGCGTAGCTCCTGTGCAGCCATAGCCCCAGCGTAGATCTCGGCCTCACAGCTGGAACCAAGCACAGAAGATGAACGAGTAGACCTCCACGAGACATAACCAGAGCCAAGACTGAAGGTGTAACCCTGTGACGACCGCTGAGTCGCCTGGTCATCGGCCCAGGAAGCGTCTGAGTGACCTGTGAGTACCACTGAGTCCCGTCCTCCAAGCACAAACCCCATGCCCGATGTACTGCACAAGTAACGCAGTACCCTCTTAGCAGCTTCCCAGTGCACCTTTCGGTGTCTATCGGGAGCCACGTAGCGAGCCAGGATGCTGAGAGGGTACGCGAGGTCGGGTCGTGTGCACGTCATCAGGTACATGAGGCAACCCACTAGCTCTGGATACGGACCACTCGGCTCTACGGACTCGTCCGAAGGTGGAGCTGAGAGCGAGTGGCCTATAGGCAGAGGAGTGGGCTGTGGCGAGGACCACGTGAAGCCGAAGCGCTGAAGGACCTGGTGCACCATGTGTGACTGCGTCAGGGTGATGGTGCGCCGTGCTCTGTCCCGGGTGATCTGCAAGCCAAGATAGCTCCGCAGCTCACCCAGGTCAGTGCAGGTGTGTCTCTCCTGCAACTCCGCCTTCACTAGGGCCAGTGCCTCAGTGTCAACAGTAACAAAAACCAAGTCGTCGACGTACACGAGGATGTAGAAGGGCGGCAGAGAAGGGTCGGTGCGCAGAAACAGCGACGGGTCAGCAGTCGAAGGAGCAAACCCAAGAGCCGCAAGTGTCGTCCTTAGTGTGTCGTGCCACTCGCGGGGTGCCTGACGCAGGCCGTACACTGGCCGTCGTAGGCTCCACTGAGTACCCTCAGGAAACGACCCAGTGAAGCCAGGTGGACGGCGCAGCCAGATGGCCTCGTGAAGGCTACCCTGCAAGAAAGCTGTCGAGAAGTCGAGGGAGTGCAGTTCGTAGTCACGCTGAGCTGCAACGTGTAGCAACACCCGATGGAGGTTTAGATTAGGTAAGGGGGTTCAACACGAATTGGAGGCTCGATGGAGGTTCAACGTGCTTCGTTCAGCACGAATTCAGCGGTGCGCTAAAGTTTTTTCGCAAAGAGGTGTTGGCGGCACTCACGAGGGCTTTTCACAATTTTGCAAGTCACTGGTTGGACAATAGTTTCGCGTGCCTCGATAGACAACGCGAAGTATCTTTCTTGACTCGTTGACCCTACGGTTCGCTCGTGGAAGGCCACACGTTTGACCTAAAGTTCAACAACATTCTGGTTCGTGGTAGAGTCCCTATAAAGAGAGGTACATTTGCACGCGTGCTTATCACATTCCTAGGGTTACCCGCTTCGGGGTCCAACACTTTGGACCCCGTTTGCATATGATGCACCAGCCCTTAGGGCATGTGGCATTTTTTAATAGTGGTAAAAGTCTAGACAGCCGTCCGAGAACGGTTCGGATACCAAATATTGGACGGTCCGAGTCCAACGTCTGGACTAAGCCTTGTCTGGACGTTGTTAATGAAACTTTTTTCAACTGACGAAATTGAAAACTTAGCGAGCTTGTAACCATGATACGACGTCATTGCGATATAGGTAACATCAATGCGACCTGGAGACTCCCACTCGTCGGCCTGTAAAATCGCGTCACTCTTACGTGCGTCCGTTTATCGAACGGTACTCGTCCGGTCGATTTGGGAGGGCAATTTACGCAAAAAGTCCCACCAGTGGTCCAAACGATAACGACGTGGCATGTGCTCTAACGAAGAAACCAACGAGGCCTAGCGAAAACAGTAACCACAAAAATGTCCGGATAGTGGTCCGTCCGAACGGACAAAAGTGGAAAATGTCACACGCCCTTACACTTGGCCCAGGCCTGTGCTGCCTTCGGGGAGGATTATAAAACCCTGTTACTAAATATATATCCTTAAACCTCAAAACCTTAAACCTGTCCCTCAGCCCCAACTTGATCAGGAGGTTCGCGAAATGCGGGATGAGCAAGCTAGCCTCGGCATGTTTGAAAAACCCGCCAAACCAGGCAGATTCCAGTTAGTCTAGGAGGCGTTCAGTATCTAATATTTCTTACATAACTAGATACACGTTCACAAAAGCGCCGAATTTGCGATGGCTGTCCCGGAAAAGGCTCATCATCTCCTTAGGCGTATCTTTTTTGTTTTAACCTCGTGGTAGTGGTTTCCTCGTCTGCATCATGGAGTTCGCACTTCGGTTTAGGGTTCCCGCTGCTCTTCTCAGTCATTGTCACCTTGACAACGCCAACGGCAGCATCGACGGCAGTGACATCACCACGAGCAGCACAGCGACTGACCGCGCCGCTGAATCTGCGAACGAAGGAACGAACCAACAGCCAGCAGCTTCACACGTGGACTATACCATTACCGTTGATCCGCACGAATTTCTCCAATCAGCATTTGACAAGCTGTTTCAGTCCCATCTGCCGCACTGCTGCCTGCCAGCTCAGAATACATGTCAACAGCAGGATGACGCGGATAAGGGCAGCAACAAGAGCGAAGAGAAACAGGTTGTTCGATTCATGGCTGTTGGGCAAGTGGTGTACTTATCACCTTCCGTATCCGCCGAAAAGGCCAGGCTTAAATCAGGTACGCTGATTAAAGTCCTGGCGGCGAGGACAAAATCGGCGACGGGGGAAAATGCAGGAAACACCAGAGACAGTACCAGCAACGTCGCAACTGACGCAGCGGTCGCTCCTGGGGCGGATGCCTTACACCCAGCATCCAAAGACCTATCGCCGACTTCTGTCGTGAACTCCCAACTCGATATTTTACCTTCCCCTGCTCCAGTCTCTGCTCCAGTCCCTGCTCCAAATCCCGTCCCGCTCTCTGCGCCTGCACCTGCCACCGCACCTTCTGCTCCCCCTGCTCCTGCCTCTGCCGTGGGCAATGACACAACAGTAGACAACCGCACTAATACCACAGCCACTACCACAGGCAGTAGCAGTGGCACCATTGGCACCAGTGGCAACGGCAGCGGACCCCGCAGCAGCAGCAGCAGCAGCAGCAGCAGGCAGATGGTACACGTGGAGCACGTGGCGCTGGGCCGGCCGCACATGGTGCACTACGTGGACGTGCACCTGCCGTGGTCGCACTCCCTCTGCGCCTGCTGCCTCCCCCGCATGCTCCGCCCCGCCCCGCCCATCACATTCCGCATCTCAAGCCTGGCCTCGCTGCGCAAGCACCTGCAGCAGCCCGTGGCGAAATCCATGCCGCCTTTCCGCCTCGCCAACAAACCCACGCCGCCCATCCTCGCCTACTCCGCCACCGTCCCGCTATCCGCCCCTCCGCGCCGTTTTCCACGGCGCCTCTGCTGGCGCAGCAGCGCCGTCGTTGGCGCAGCAGTATCGGTGGAAGGCGGACGCGGCGCCTGTGGTTGCAGCAGAGGCCATGATGCTCGAATGGCTGGCAGAGCCACGTGTCGGCCTGCTACTGGACCTCCAGGAGGTACGGCGCCGGCTGGCAGAGATATTGCACATCAACGAATTCGCGGCGGCGCGCAGAGAAGCTAGAGCCGCGCGGGGGGGCTCTACTGCTGCTGCTGCGCCGTACCGTCGCGCCCTGTGGTGGTGCTGCTGGCAGTGCAGCCGGTGCTGGACGCTCTACCGCATGGCCGTGTCCATTGCTGCTTTCCTCGTGCTTGTTGCCAAGTTCCCGCGCTTCGTCACTCTCTGGCGCGCGCACCTGTGCTCCCCTGCGATGGCCTTTTCCATGATGGCGTTTCAGTTCGGAGCGGGGCAGCAGGCGCAGGGCGACTGCGTGGCGTCGCTGCTGCTGCAGGTGCTGGGAGTGAAGGGCAAGCAGCAGCTGGAGACTGGCTTTGCTGCCCACATGCTGCCGCTGCTGCCGGGGGGGAGGGACGCGCATAGGGAGGCGGGAGGGGGAGGAGCGAGCTCGGGGAGGGAGGGAAGAGAGGGGAAGGAGTGGAGGGAGGGGTTGGGAGGGGTTGAGTGGGAGGAGTATGTGCGCCGCGTGGTGGAGATTGCCGCCCAGGGAGGGCTGGCAGGCGAGCAGTACCGCTGCTGCTGCTCGCAGTGCTGCAAGGGCGAGAGCACAGAGGGAAGAGCGAATGAAGGGGCCTTGGGAGCCCAACGCGGCAGCAGCGGTGGCATGGTGATATCTGGTGCGGACCCCACCGACTTCGCCCTCAAGTGCGCCACTCTCTTCTGCCAGCCGCTGTTCGCCGTGAGTGCTTCTCTCATCTTCTCTGACTGTGCTGCCGGCCGCCACAAGGAGCGGGTAGAGGACGCTGCTGTGGAGGAGGCAAGGAACCGGCTGGCTGCGGAGAAGGGGAGTGTGGAGGGAAGTGGAGTGCAGGATAGAGGGAAGCGAACAGTGGATTCAGACGCACCAGCATCAGCTCCTGCTGCTCCTGCTGGTGCTGGGTCTGGTGCTGCAGCCAGTGGGTCTGGTGCTGCAAGCGGCGCCGGCCTTGTCCCGGTGAACAGTAACGCGGTCGTGGCACTATTCACTTACCGGGTCACCTGCCTGCTGCGATGGGTGCGGCTGTACGGGTTCAAGGTCAACCCCTCAGACGCCTGCACCCAGCACGACATGAAAAATCCAGGCCCTTCTCTTCCCCACCCAATCCACGACCTCCCGAACCTGATGCTCAGGTTCGGTGCCATGTGAAAGCCTGTGCCAGGCCTAGAAGGCTCGGCACGACAGGCTGGAAGGAGTTCCCGGAGGGGGACAGGGCGGCAGTGGCGGCGAATTTGGAAGATCCTGGGGAGTTTATTGGACTCAAGACTTTCCAGGTGGGGGCATTTCATGGCGGTGAGTTGGACAGGGAGGAGATGAAGAAGGAGTACAACGTGAGGGAGCTCAACATGCCCCACCCAGGCCCCTCCTTCGGTGCCTCCCCCAATTTCATAGGCACTCTGCGCAACAACTCGAGCGGCCCCTTCTTCCCCACACTGGGCCACCGCGTGGAGGAGTTTTTGAGAAGGTTCGCCCCTGCAAGGCTGGCAAGGGAGGGCAGGAACGGTCCCTCTGGCCCGGGCTATCACCTCCTGGGCTAGCTGCATGGACCTGGAGGAGCGAACCTGGACTGCTCTGGCTCTGGGGCCGTTCGCAGAGGGCAAGATCAAGCCCATCCTACGGTCCAGAATCCAGGTGGAGATTTTCATAGAGATGATTGCAGGCATCATTTACCCTGCGCCGGCCTGCAACCGCTGCCGGTATTGCGTCAGCAGGTACCAGCATGCAGTCTCTCTCTCCTCACTTGCCGCAACCTTCGCCTACCGCCCCTCGTCCGCGCTGCTGCGCTGCATCCTCTCGCTCTTCCCGCCCAGTTCGGTGCGCTTCAGAAGCTTCCTGGAGTCTCTGCACGTGGCGCCCATCCCTGCGGTGGTCCCGGACTCGCTTCTGGCACCGCTGCTGGAAGGCTTGATGGAGGAGCTTCGGCTGAAGTTTCTGTTTTGTGGCACTAGGCTCATTGCGGAGGAGAGCGAGATAATGAGCATTCTCGAGCCTGTCGAGCAGGACGAAGTAGGGCAGGAGCGGCAGGGAATGTGGGAGGGGGTCGAGGAGTGGAGGATGTGGGAGGAAGTGGACAGCTGGCGGCGGGCGGCTGTTATGGCGTGGCCTGCTGTGGAGGGACTTGGTGAGGCGGAGGTGGCTGATGGTGAGGGGGATGGGTTGGAGGAGTGCTGTGCGGCCATGAAGCGTGCGCTACAGGAGGAGAAGGTTGTAGCGGAGGCACGCAGGCAAGCGGTGATTGACTCTGTCATTGCCGCTGGTGGTGCTAGGGGTGGAGATGCGTATGGGGGAGGGGAAGGCCCAGGAGGGGGAGAGAGTGGGGAGGGGCGAAAGCGGAATGCAGGGGCGTGGTACCTGGAGCCGTGGCCGGGGGGGGTGAATCCTCTGGCGTGTTTGAGGGAGATGCTGCTGGGGGAGACCAGCTACTGCCTCCAGGCTCAGGTGGATGCTGCTGCCGCTGATGCTGCTACTGCTGCTGCCCCTGGTGAGGGGCACAGTGGCAAGGGAGAGCGGCGTGGGTGTGCGTGGGCACAGTGTGGCGGGGTGGAAGGGGCGGGGTTGCAGCTCAAGCTATGTTCGCGGTGCGGCAAGGCTGCCTACTGCAGCAGGGAGTGCCAGAAGGCCCACTGGCCGTCGCACAAGCTCACATGCCAGCCCAAGGCCAAGAAAGGGGAAGAGTCTTCATAGATGGGATAATGTGGAGATGACTTCTGAGTTGACTCAAAGTTCAGCTTGTTAAGATGTCGCGTCTTTTCTACAAGAAGAAAAATCATTGCATGGAGGTTACCTAAACGAGCAGGTTACGATGTTACATGTTACAGAAGTTCATTTGAACAAGAATCAAATATACTAAACAAGCTACCTATTCGAAACACACACCCCGTACATGCCATGCACATCAGCACGCTGGATGCGGCCTTCATCATCCAACACCTTCTCACACCCTGACACATCCACGGAATGAAGCATCTTCAGCTGTGTCACATCTTCAGGAAGGGCTTCTAGTTGCCTACAGCCACTCAAGTCAAGCTTCTTGAGCCTTGTCAGCTGTGCAAAGCCGGGAGGGAGGGAGCAGATTGAGGTGCTGCTGAAGTTCAGATTATGAAGGCACGAAAGCTGGGTGAGAGAAGCAGGGACGTGAGCGAGAGCTGAGCACTTGGAGAGGTATAGCTTGCGAAGTCTGGATAAGGCACCGATATGGTCAGGAAGGCTCGAGAGCTTGGGAGCATGGATCTCAATACATGTCAGCGAGCGAAGCTCAGTGACAGACGCTGGCAGCTGTGTCAGCTCTTCAGCCCGCCGTATGTGGAGCTGTCTTAGCTGCTGAACAGTCGAGCCCATGTCATTTGGAAGTGCTGGCATGCGACCAGCGCTTTGAATCGTCAACATGCGAAGGTTGGGACAGAATGCGAGGGACAGCGGCAGCTCCTCTGCCTCCCCTGCCAGAAGCAGGTCCAGATCCTCTAAGGAGGGTAGTAGAGTCACACACGCGGCAGCGTCCCTGTCTAGCCCGAGAATAAGGCCAACGCATATCAAGGTCAACTTCTTGAGCCTGGGCAGAGGACGAATCTGTAGGTGAGGAGTGAGCCGCTGGTGGCTCCCCAGGCTGAGGACCTCGAGGGAACGTGGGAGGGATCGGGTCACCTCCATGAGCTGCGGGAACTTGCCAAACGTCAGCTCTCTCAGCCGCCCAAGGGAATTCAAATCACTGGGAATGGAGTGGAGGCTGCTGCAGTGATTGATCTTCAGAATCTCTAGCCTTTCAAGGTCGGTAACAAACTCAGGTATTTCCCGGATCGAAGGGCAGTAAGTGGATGCACAGCTCCCGCAGGTTCCTCAGCTTCCCGATCCCCGCGGGAAGCTCAGATATTTCGCATTGGCTGAGAGCAAGGCTTGTCAGCGAGGACAGCTCCCTATGGCCTCTGGGAGCTCCGCGATGCGGCACAGGCACAGGCTCAGGCTGGTCAGTGAAGCCAGCCGCGTCAATGATGGTGGAAGGCGCTGCTGGGCGCCATTCTCGCTCAGGTCGAACGCGCGGAGGTTGGCCAGCCGTCCGATGTCCTCTGGGAGCACTAGCAGCGGGCAGTTGGCGATACAAAGGGACCTGAGAGCCGTCAGATTTGCGAACCTTGGAGGCAGCTCTCGGAGCTCCTTGCAGTAGACGAGATTTAGAGTTTCCAGGGATGTGAGCTGGGAGAAGGAAGCGGAGAGATCCGTGAGGTGCAGCTGGTACAGCGACCATGACGTGAGCGCGGGCAGCTCGCCGAAGTTTTCGGGCAGCCTGACAATGTTGCAGAGGGCGATTGACAAAGTCTCTAAGCAGCTGAGGGAGGCGAACCCGTGAGACAAGTCATTCAGGTTTTCGTTCTCTGATGCTCAGCTCCCGTAGGCAAGGCAGCAGATCTCCAATCTCGTCCAGAAATGTCCCGAGCCCATGGCACTCGCGGAGACGCAGTCGCTCGAGACGGCTGCACGACGAATCTTGCGGAAACATAAGGTCGAGTCGCGGGCTGACGGAATCGAACTCCAGCGACTTGAGAGCCCGCAGCTGCGCGAACGAGAAGTCGTCAGAGCCCTGCTCCCGCTCCGGTAAGAACAGCCGCGTTTCGTTGCAGCAGGAGAGGCTGATGAGCGCCGTGAGATGCGAGAGGCTCCAAGGGAACGGATCGTCCAGAGGTTGGTGTCGAGGGACAGAGCAGTGAGCGACGCGAGACGCGAGAATTCCGAAGCCTCGAGGGCGGAGCCGTCGGTAAGAGCCAGGGAGTGCAGGTGCGTGAGATGATAGAACGCATCGGGTAACTTGACGGCTCTATGCGCGCAGTAGAGCGAGAGGTGCCGCAGCTGCGTGACGCCACGCAGGAAATGATTCAAACCAGATTGGGTCACCGGATGGTCCTCCTCCCTCTCCCAGTCCATGGGTGTGATTTCATTCCCCACATGCAGCGCCTTCAGCTTCGGACACGACGACGCGATATGAGCGAGAAGCGCGTCGTCGACGGTCTCGATGCTGCCGTCCGAGAGATGCAGGCGGGTGAGGTTCGGGAAGCAACGGATGGCATTCTTCAGATCCCGGCGCGAAACAACGCGGTTCTCCTTCACCAGGAGCGTCGAGACGTGGCGCCGCGCGAGGAGGCGCCACCGGCGGCAGACGGATGCGACGAGTAGACTAAACGCGGCGTCTGCGGAGGCAGGGGGAGGCGCTAATGGATTGTCGGTCTGATGCTGACGCGACTCGTCACCGTACGGCTGTTGGGAGGTGTACGTGGGCCGTGGCTCCACGGCGGCCCATACTGTGCTGCTTGATGATTTACGTTAAGCGGGCGGCTGAGAGTGAAATAGAATCTTAACGAGGAGGTCGTCTGACAGAGCGTTAATGTTGTAGGAATGCATCGTAGACAACTGAACGCAGTGTCAAAGAGAACCGTGCGTTTCTGTGCTGAACCTTCCAAAGTCTTCTACTCCTGCACACTTGCTGTACCGAAATCAAGAGGTTCTTGTGATGCGTATCTCCTAGTTTACTCTTTGCTGGAGCTTTGTTCTTGTTAGGGTTGGTTCGCCCAACCACGGAACCTACGGCGGAAGGTTCTACGACGGCTAAATGGAAGCGCGTGGGAGATTCTAGATCTAAGACGGTGGAAAATCGGCCTACGGTGACGAATGGAAGCTACGACGTGAGAAGCGGGAGAGATCGAGAAGAAACTAGAGAAATGGAGGAAGAAGAGTGGACAAGTATCGAGAAGGGAGTTGACGAGGGGAAATTGAGGTTCGAGACCAAGGCGCATTCGAGAAAGTTCCAGATTCGGACTTGAGGAGTGTTCACCGAATTCAGTTCGGTTCCGTGTGCGACTCGGGGTGAAACGAGGCGCACGGGGTTACTTGGGAAACAAGTGAAGTTACGAATCGCATTTTGTGACTTGCTTGACTATAAAACTGCTTGTACTCATTCTGGAAAACATAACTTGGAGATTCTGAAAATTGCTGAAGTGTGTATTGACAACTTCAAGCAGAGCTGCGCATATCGTTGGATTTGGGAGATCGTGGAGAACACGATAAGCAATAGCAAGTAGACTATTGCCGACTAAGGTGTTTACGATCCTAAGAACTGGTATCAGAGCTTGGCGAACGGTCGCGTCGGACGTCGTAAATTCACTTGGTGCGCTAAGTGAAATTAGTGGAGAAGAGGAGTCGTTCACGCCTACGCCATGGGAGACGAGGCGAGTTCGGGTTCCAGTGTGAGTCTTGGAGACCCGCAGTTGAAGGCTCTTCTCGAGGCCCTTGCGAGTGGCCGATTGGTGGCGAAACCGACGATCGGGCTCAGTGAAGCCCAGCGCTTCAACGGGAGCAACTACAACGTGTGGCGAAAGAAGTTCATTCGAAGGGCAGAGGAGGTGGACCTCTTGCCGTACTACCGTCCCGACGAGGAAACGATGGAGGGAGTTGCGCCATCCCTGACGGATACGAAGGAGAAAATAGCGGCGTTTAAAAAGCTAAGTAAGCAAGCGTTCTTTCAGCTTTGTCACTCAGTTGCCGACGGAATCGCGGTGGATTTGGACCAGTTTGCAGGGGAGCTGAACTCTGCACAGCGAGCGTGGGAGTACCTGGAGTCCACGTACATGGGTACGAACGATGTCAACAAGAAGGCGATTAGAAAGCAACTGCTGATGCTGAGCATGGAGAAAGGCGAGAAAATCATCACCTACATCAACAGGGCGAAAAGCTACAACGACGATTTGCGGGTGATGGGAGCCGCGGAGACGGAGCAGGAGATGATTGACTATATCATCCAAGGCCTTCCTAAGGAATGGGAATCCGACATTGGAATGTTTACGTACCAACCGCCGGAGAGTTTGACGAAGCTGCAGGAGATCCTGCAATCGCTTGAGACGGTGAAGGAGATGAGGAAAAAGAAAGCGGCAGTAGCAGCTACGGAATTCGACGAGGAAAGGCCGGCTATGGTGAATGCGACAAAGGCGTTTGGAGCGTGCTACCAGTGTGGAAAGAGGGGGCCATAAGGCGATAAACTGCTACGAAAATCCGCGAAGCAGAAACTACAAGGGCAAAGCGGTGGGAGAACGAGAAAGGAGAAAATGGGGGAGCAGAGTGGCAACAGAAACGAGGTTTTGGCGGCAAGTGTGATTATTGTGGGCGCTACGGACATCGTGCCGCAGAGTGCTACTCCAATCCGAACAGCAGGAGCTACAAGGGTCCGTCGCAGCAGAGGATTGTGGCGGGTAAGGCGAATGTAGCGGAAGCCGAAAAGGAGGATGTGATTTTGGGAGGAGCGCATCTTGCGAACGTGGTGCGTTTACCGAAGGATGTTCGTCAGACGGACGGACGTAAGAAGACGGCATGGTTCATGGACAGCGGATGCACGCGTCACATGACATTCAGGTCAGATTGGATGGAGAATGTGAGGGAGTCGAGTGAGCGTTATATACTGCAAGGTAACAGTGGGAAGTTACCAGTGACAGGAGAGGGTGACGTGGTGCTGCAGAGTCCGTATGGAGAGGTGAAACTGGAGAGTGTGCTGCTGGTTGAGGATTTAAAGGTGAATTTGGTCAGTCAGTCACAGCTTGATGACTTGGGGTGCAAGATATTTTATGACAGTGGAAAGGTTACAATGTTTGGCCCAGAGTGGGAGAAGTACGCAGAGGGTTACTTCAGTGACAGATTTTATGAGATGAACGTGATAGCGACGAATGATATGGATGAGATCTATGAGGATCCTGAGTATGGTGAGATGGGAGAATTCGAGGAGTTATCGGTTGAGGATGATGAGAGTGAGGAGACGGATGATACGGCAGCAAGTGTGGAGGCAGCAGTGAAGCAGAAAGAGGAGATAGTCGCCATGGAGGCAGCAGCAGTGAATGGTGGAGATGGAGTTGGTGTCAAACACTTTTGCCTAAGCAGCGATCGTGGTTGAAGATGAAGCAGTAAATGCGAAGTATATGGGAGTTGAAGCTGTGAAAGGGGACAACCTGGTGAAGGGATCAAATGTGAAAGCAACTGCAAAGGGGCGAGTGCTTACGAAGGAGGAACACGTTGAAGGGTACAAGACCCGAGAAATGTTGGGTGTTGAGATGCCGAGGAGAAGCGAGAGGCTTAAGGATATCTATCAAGGTTTGGACGTCAAGGCGCTCAACTTCACGACACGTAAGCAGAGGTTCAAGGTGCAGGAGCTGCAGGGGAGCGTGAAGCAGACTTAGACCCTGTGAAGGCTACCAGGAGCAGGGGAGGAGTGGCGGGTGGAGTTCGAGGTTGACGAACCACAGGGGGAGGTTGTTAGGGTTGGTTTCGCCCAACCCACGGAACCTACGGCGGAAGGTTCTACGACGGCTAAATGGAAGCGCGTGGGAGATTCTAGATCTAAGACGGTGGAAATCGGCCTACGGTGACGAATGGAAGCTACGACGTGAGAAGCGGGAGAGATCGAGAAGAAACTAGAGAAATGGAGGAAGAAGAGTGGAGAAGTATCGAGAAGGGAGTTGACGAGGGGAAATTGAGGTTCGAGACCAAGGCGCATTCGAGAAAGTTCCAGATTCGGACTTGAGGAGTGTTCACCGAATTCAGTTCGGTTCCGTGTGCGACTCGGGGTGAAACGAGGCGCACGGGGTTACTTGGGAAACAAGTGAAGTTACGAATCGCATTTTGTGACTTGCTTGACTATAAAACTGCTTGTACTCATTCTGGAAAACATAACTTGGAGATTCTGAAAATTTGCTGAAGTGTGTATTGACAACTTCACGCAGAGCTGCGCATATCGTTGGATTTGGGAGATCGTGGAGAACACTTGCTGTACCGAAATCAAGAGGTTCTTGTGATGCGTATCTCCTAGTTTACTCTTTGCTGGAGCTTTGTTCTCTTTGTGGTCTCTACTGACCAGGAATATCGTGGCCTGCTTGGCTATGCCGTAGGACCCACTTTGGAATTGTGGGAAACGGCTCAATATTGGCTTCGAAGGTTGGGCTGTGGTGGGTGCTGCGATATTTTTTCGCAACCTGTGAGAGAATTACTGTAGAACCATGTTCGGTGATTCGTCCTTACTCGCGTGGCTTCGAATTAGGGTACATTCCTACCTCGTGTCAGACACGAAGTGGAGGTTTGGATGGAGGTTCGGAAGACCCGAAGTGGCCCACTTCGGGTCTTCTGAACATTGATTTGCCAGAGTTCCATGTCACTTCGGGTCTTCCTCAACTTCACTTCGTGTCTGACCTCATGTCAGACACGAGCCAAGAATGTACCCTTACTCGAGTGGCCACCAAATTTGGTGATAATTACTCGAGTGGCCACGCCAGGGGATTTCTGCTGGCTTTTTTTTTTCCCGGCGCATTACCCTACGGGGCTTTGTAGCCCCGAAATGCACCGTTCGCACGAGTATCATCCCGCAATAGTGTTTCTTACTTACTATTCCCCACCCGAAAATTTCGCCAGGGTGGCGGGCGCGAACGTGGCCCGCTCACTGTAGAAGAAACCGACAAATAAGCCGACCAACAGTAAATGCGCGTTCAATTTCGGGCAAGTGCGCGACCAATGAGCGGCATGTCAAACAAATCCGCAACCAATAATCGATCGTGAATATATAGCCCCGATCGTATACTTCTCTTGACCCGCATCTAACCGCCACAGCAATAACGACCGCGCATGATTGGTCAATAATATGCGCGGTGCAGTTGTAGGCAATGACCGTCCAATCAAGCGCCTAATTGGATTCCCAATCGTATATTGAAATTCACGGCCGTCAACGCGAGGGAAATTAAATGACCGCGCGTGATTGGTCAGTTTTATTCGTATGATGCGTGTCCAATCATATACGGTCTTACAAAGTCGCAATCAATAATTGTATAAGACTGTGCAATAACCTATATGAGCGCGCATATCTGTTGATTAAGTGTGGGTGCTTACGGTGGATATAAAACCTGTTTATAAATTCCATAGAAATATTCTCTTGATGTCCTTTTGGTTCGTCATAGCTACTGTCCTCAGTAATGTGTTGCCGTTATTGTTAAATAACTAGCGAGAGTTTGGCTTAGGAGCCATAGTAGCTTAGGTGACTTGGTGAAGTTCGAGGGTGTAGGGTGTAAGGAAAATGTCGAGAGAATTGTGGAAGGAGAATTGTGAAACTAGAAAGGAGGGGGATACAAGTAGTAAGCCCTAAAAGGGTTATACTCACTTTTGAGTACCCCACTACAGACTAGACATGCATTATAATCTGACACACCCCCATAGTCAAAGTGGGGTATAATCAGTACAGCATGCAGGCATAGAGCTAGAGTTCACAATAGGTAAGTAAGGCTAGAGCTAATCACAGAGGGCAAGTGAGGAGGAGGAGAGACTGTGGGGGAGAGAAGATGGGAGGCGACTGCTGACGCTGCAGACACACACGA